TGGTCACGACCTCATTTCGTGTTTGAAGGACAATCATAGTAAGCAAAAACACATTGACTTCTATGCAGTGATAGGGAAAAATGGAGTCCACCTTGCCAATGAATCTTTTTTATGCAGCAGTTAACATTAGTGGGTAGTAAGTTTCTTTTGAGGGGACATCGTTGAAGCCATTAGAAAGAAAGAAACTTTAGGATTGTGAACATGTGAATGTTTCACTTCATAGACTTACTCCTTGTTTAAATTTGTGTTGTTGTACTTTCAAATTGTTCAAGCCAGGAATGCTCTGAGTGGAATCTTTAAATGTGAGTAGTTTGTTTGCTGAAAGAGTTGCTTGGTGGCTTTCCTTAAGTCCCTTTGTTTTGAACTTTTTATCCTGTAAACTCACTTGACAAAAACAAGTGTTTTCCTTCAGTCATCTTATCGAGTTCCTAAGTTTCATTTACCCTATTTCTTTATCTCCTTATCCATAGTTTTCTTCTAATTTGGATGGCAATGGCTCAGGAAGAATTGGATTCTTCTTTGCTAGTAGACATTGTTTGGAAAGAGTGGTTGGTGGGATGGTGAGAGAGCATAACATATACAAACAATGGTTAATTTGGTTAGTTTTATGGAGAACATTTCTCTGTATGCATGATTATAGGCACACTAGGATTAGGATAAGATATGCAGGAGAAGGGATCCTCATGCATGACACTCGAAGAGAGTCAAGGTTTGCAGGATAAATGCGGTGCCACTTTTCTTTTTATTTGTTTCTCTTCCATATACATGTATCTCTTGCACTTTTGGCGACTCATGCTGTAGGTGGAGTTAGAAATTTGTGATATTATTTGATACACTAGGGATTTAACCCTTTGCCTTTTTTTAGTTCCTAAGTGATTGGCTCCCCTATAGGTCTATAAATGTCAAATGGGGAAAACAGTTTCAAAATGGTTGAGAATCTATCACAGAAGGAAACTTATTTAGAGACATAGTTTAATTCTCATTAGATTACAGTATGAGTATTTTGGGTTTCTTTTGCGTGAATAAGTGTTTTGAGTTGGAGAAACCAAGGAAGATATACTTTATGAGCATATAATCGAGCCTGTACTAGTGTTTTATGAATTGTGCTTGCTTTTAGCTACCCAAAAAAAAAAATACTTGTCCTTGTGAACATCTAGCTTATGGAATAAGAAATATTTTTAAAGACACTTAAGTCTGATGAAAGAGATTCAGACTTAACATGTGTGAAGGGGATAGACCATTAAGACTACTAGGTGGCCTGGGTTTAATTAGGTAGCAAGGCAAGCTATTTGAATAGTGTTAAGACTGATAAAACATAGGTAATGTCAGTCCAATAGGAGCTGATTTGGCAGCTTCTAGAAGGCATTTTCCCTTTCATCAATTCCAGTCATTTATATCATAAGCCTATTAAGTTTGATGAATACTCCCACTATTCTGGGTCATTGTTGTAAACTTCCATCACATTCCCTGTCACATCATATGACGTTAATGTCTTGGCCCATTTGTTGAGTGGAGCATCAATCATCTGATCAAATGTTTTCAGTATAGACTATATTTTATCCCCAGAAAGCATAGGATGAGCCAAGAAATAAATGAAACTAAATATGTATGCCTAGACAATGTTGCGGTTGTTTTTCCCCAGAAGTTTTGAATATATGAGAAAAATAAAATGATCAAAAGCCTTTTCTATTTATAGTGCCATGACGGAATTGTTTAGACTAAAGCTAGTATTTCATTGAAGATTATATTTTAGTTGAAATTCAAAGAATTTGGATATCAGGATGACAGTGCAAATATGTGGCTAAAGGATTCTCTTAGTCTTGAATGCCGCAGATGCCACATATCTTTGTTCTCCTCATTTGTTTGAAAACAATAAGATAAATAGAACATGGGAGACCAAGGATTTACTGCAAAAAATTTTGTGGAAAGAATGAGGATGAGGAAGTACTTTCTATTGCTTCTGTTATCTGCTTAAGTGCATTTGTCATTTCAATGGTAACTTGGAGTAGTTTGTTCCAGTTTCAAGGTAGGCACATATTAACTTTGGCAGACATTAACTTCAAAGAACATTGCAGCAATGACGCATGGTTTGTGACTGGTAAAGAGATTTCTTTGTTTCCTCTCTTCTGCTCTTAATTCTCAGAATCAGTGTACCCATAAGGGTATATAGAAACTTATACCTCATATGCTTGTACAGAAGGGACCAAAAATCATTATCGTTTGTTTAGTGGATACAATTCTTCTTGTATTACAAGTTTATAACCCTTCTTGAATAAAGCAATTACCTGATCCTAGTTAAGATTGATGCATTTTTCAAGCTCTAATGAATTTTTTATAATGGACAGATCTGAGATGGAAGGGACATATGTACAAGGGAATCAAATCTAAACAACAATTCTTTCGCACAAAAAGAATTAAAACTGTACTTGCAGTTGCAGTCCCAGTTCCCTCACCCCATAGGGACATTGCAGAGGAAAGAAAGCAGATTGCCAAAGACTATGGTTTCACACAGATAGGGGAGCGACTTCCTGAAAATATTACCTTGAAAGATGTCACTGAATCTCTTCCTAAAAAGGTAAGAAGGAATATTTATTTGAATGTCTCATGCAAAATCTAATTGCTTCTATAATATATGTTTCAAGGTTTTTGAGATGGACGCTGTGAAGGCTTGGAAATCAGTATTCATATCAGTGTCTTCTTATGCTTTGGGGCTTTGGATGATTGCAAAAGCTCCTTGGTACCTACTTCCTCTGGCTTGGGCATGGACCGGGACTGCAGTGACAGGGGTTAGTCTCTTCTTTTCTTGTTTTTCTGTTTGTTTTTGTGGTTTATCTTTCTCCCTTGTTTTTTCCTTCCATTATTTTTCCCTTTGCATTTTACACACACACCCCTATACATTCTGGTTGGTAGACACAGATGTTAATTAACTTGGTTATCCATATTTGACATACTGTACTTGTTTTGGTATTTCTAGCTTATTCTTTTTTGTCTTTCAAGTTTTTTGTGATAGGTCATGACTGTGCTCACAAATCATTTGCTAAGAATAAATTGGTGGAGGACATTGTTGGGACACTAACCTTCTTGCCCCTGATTTATCCTTATGAACCTTGGCGCTTTAAACATGATAGGCATCATGCAAAGACCAACATGTAATTTTTCCTCTCTGTTATTTGCTGCCATCTAAACAATATTATCTTTTGTTTTATTTACTTCCAACCATTCATTCTCTTGCTCCTTGCATTAGTGATGATGACAATGAACTGTAGACCGTCCTTTCGTACTTCTGATGATTAGGGGTGATATTATCTGTAGTATAGATCAATGGAAAATTGTTTCATGCGGGCTGGACCGCATTTCTACATATGCGGTCCAGAAAGTATAAAGCATCCATCTTAAAGATGGATGCAAGTAGGTGTTCCATCTAAAAACAATGAAAACTAACGGTCCAAATGTTTTCTTACTAGAACTATTATTTCTAGTTTTAAAATTTTATTTATTTTTTCATATTCATGATCTCCATGTTGGAGATTACATGTTCTTAAAAATTAAGTTTTAAAATCCATCTCAAAAGTAGATTTATTAAGAGGCTTGCATTTCTACATATGCGGGCTTGGCCACATAGAATCCGGGTCATAGATCAATTATAAGGAAAGTCACATCAATTCTTCAAAAAAGATGGACAGAATACCCATCAATATTTAGAAAAAAAAGTCCCTTCAATCGTATTTATTATATTACTAAGTTAAATAGATGGGCTTTCATATTGCAGGTTATCTGAAGATACTGCTTGGCATCCTGTTTGGAGAGAAGAGATTGAATCCTCTGAGGTATTGCGTAAAGCAATCATTCTAGGATATGGTCCATTTCGCACTTGGATGTCTATAGGTCACTGGTAAGCAACTCTATTACTATTTAATTATCTGTTTATATTGCATACAGTAATTTAAGCTCACCATCTCAGTTCTTGTGTTGAAAATTGTTGTCTCGTCTCTCTTAAGCCCTCATTTTTGTTTTTCGAAAATATTTAGATCTGATTATTTTATCTCTTGCATTCTTGAGGCGTAAATAGGTTGCTTTTGCACTTTGATCCGAAGAAGTTTAAACCCGCTGAAATCAAAAGGGTTAAGATAAGTTTGGCATGTGTCTTTGTATTTGTCGTGATCGGATGGCCCTTGATCATATACAAGACTGGAATATTTGGATGGTTTAAGTTCTGGCTGATGCCATGGCTTGTTTATCACTTTTGGGTGAGAGTGTTATCTTTTTTCTTGGGGTATTAATTAAGGGGAAATTATTATAACCAGTGGACTATGGAAATCTAGTCCATTGAGTCATCATTATCCATTGAACCATGGATGGTGATGGAGAGAAAGTGGGACCCACAGTTGGGGACATATCCTGCTTTAATGGGTCCCTGTCATATGGTTACACTTTTCCGTAGTCAATGGGATTATAAATTTATAATGTATTTCCTTTATTTAGGAGCATCTCTTGTAGTCTAGATCATTGGCTAATCTCATTCTACTTGCAATTCCCTAGATGAGTACTTTCACAATGGTTCACCATACAGCTCCTCACATATCATTCAAACACTCAGATGATTGGAATGCAGCTCATGCACAACTTGGTGGAACAGTTCATTGCGATTATCCACGATGGTGATGATCCTATCCTTTCTGAAAGCATAGGTTATGGTGACTAGTATTTGAATTTCCTTTTTTTTTTTATAACTTTTTACAATAATTTTGGATATCTTTATCTGTACAGCTAAATTTCCAGCTAAAACATTGTTAACAGAAATCCTTGCGACTCTAAATTATGATGTATTTGTCTATACTGACTTATTGAAAATGGAAACTTTCCTCTAGCTGATTTTTGTCATTTTTCTTGCCTTAAAAATGATAAATTTAGGCCCTTAATATTCTAGAGGGTGAGTAGAATTGAAATCATGGAAAATTACTGAAACCAACATGTGCATTTTTTTCTTAAAGAGCTTTCTATATTATCTTGGAACAGGATAGAGATCCTTTGTCATGATATTAATGTGCACATACCCCACCATGTGTCTCCAAGGATACCGAGTTATAATCTACGATTAGCTCATCGGTCACTTCAAGAGAATTGGGGCAAGGTAAAGTTCTCAGGCTTATTGTGTTCTCTTTAAATTTTCAGACATGGAAAGCCATAGCTCCTTGAGGACATCACCATCCAATGAAATGATGGATAGAGATGCAGGAGAATAGGACTGACCACTGGGATCATCCCCTGTTTTGTTCGATTCATTTCCCATCCATCATCATCCATTTAATTGGATGGTGGTGACTGCAATGGATTATGTATGTCAATGATGGATTTTGGCACGGTCTTTGGTTTCTTATTTTTAAATTCCAATTTGCATTATTTACCATGCTCAGTTATAAAGCACTATGCCTGAGTTCAATATGCCTTCCATATGAACAGTATCTTAATGAGGCCACATGGAATTGGCGCTTGATGAAGACAATCATGACAACATGCCATGTGTACAGTAAGGAGCACAATTATGTATCATTTGAGGAGATTGCCCCAAAGGAGTCTAAGCCAATTGCTTTTCTTAGAAGAGTGATGCCTGATTATGCTTGATCATTAACTGCATAAGCTGCAGTTTTAGTGTATTAATTGATTTATTTCCTTCGGTTTTCTTGACCAAATTTGGCAGATTATATGTATGGTATATTATTTAGTTTGGTGAATGAAATTTCTCGTAATAACTTGCTCATTAGAAATCTTAGCTTTTCGTTATTTTCCTCCCTGAAATTAGTAGTGAGGTTCTTGCGAACCTAGATATTTACTGGAGACTTTCGAATATTGAGGATGCAATCATTTGAGATTCACTTGTTAGTGCAAAAATTGCATCTCACGGAAGGGTTATCAGCTCATGTCGGTTGTATATGGACAGATTATCATTTCTGGTGGGTTTTGGCTTATTTGGCCCATCAACTAGTGGTTGACTACTAAAACCCTTCTAAATCACACCCTCCACTGAAAATGCTTATACTTGAAGAAACCTTTTCTGGGTAGTGACATAGGATCCATGATTAAAGGAAATCAATCAATCTCTCTCTCTCTCTCTCCAGAAACGCTTATACTTTGAAACCATTTTTGGGTATACTTGAAACCATTTTCGGGTAGTGACAGCATCCATGATCAGAGTAAAGCAGTCTCTCGCTCTCTCTCTCTCTCTCTCTCCTTCTCACATCATCTGCACCTGATTTATTGTCATGGCTTTTGCCCATGCTTTCATAAAACATATCAGGCTGTGGCAGTTTCCAGTAGTTTTGTTAAGCTGGAATTGAATTTAGTTGTAAACATAGTAACTAATCAATCAAAATCCACCGCCAAAGACTACAAAAGTCTAGACATACATGTCTTTAGACACTAAGGTTCTCCCTCGTTTTTATTTTTGTTGTATGAACTAGTTAGCTTTACTCAAGACTTACACCAATGGATTGATTGATGAAATGAATATCCATTACATTAACTGAGAAAGACTCAGAAACTCCATATGCATAAAGGTTCAAAACCCACATATCTATACAAACATATCTCACTTTCTTTCTGTTTCCTGTATATATATATTTAGAGTTTCACACAAACACGCATCCCTCATTTTTACAGCAGAGTAAAACTTTGAAGGTTGGCCTCCTGGGTTCTTTTTCTTGAAGAGAAACCATTAGAAAATCCAAATAAAATTTTACAGTGGAGACCGAGAAGGTGGTGTCTCCCACACATCAAACACATTTTCCTCGTTGTGGAGTGCAAAGAGCCTATCACCCCCTATTGAGAAATCACAGATCGATCCTCCGTGGCTTCTTCTAAGCCTTGAAGTCAAGACCCACTCAGGACCACAAAACACTGAGATGCTATCGTTCATGGAGGAGAAGAGCTGACCACCATAGGCTGCTAGCTTAGGGTAACATCTCTCATCTGCATTGTTCACTTTCAATAGCCGGCTTCTTGTGCTCCATCTTACTACACCCACATTACTCCTCAAATCCATGAAACCAAGATCATCATATTGGTTCACTACACAAACCGAATTACTCTCTTCCATTACTACAGCATCCAAGACTAGCTTCTCATCCACTGTTGCTGGTGCCCCAACATCTGACCATGACCAAACCCTTTTTCTCTCCCGAAAATCTATTAAGGAGATGTAACAATTCTCGTTTCGTGGGTACAAGGTGGCCACTAGCAAGACATTGTTACCAGGTAGCCATTGAAGCTTACCTGAATCTCCAAGTGACCAACCAGGTGTTTCATAGAAGAAATCAATTTGTTTACCAGTAACCTGATCCCAAACTCCAATCCCATACTCATTACTTCTCCCTCTACAACTCGCGAAAATCCTATCATTCTCACTAAAACTTAGAGCCCCAGCTGTGAAGCTCTTCAGTCTATTTTCATGGGTCACCTGAAACTTGAACAAAAGCTCCCCTGTTCGAAAATCGAACAATCCCATCCCTCCATCCCCTCGATCTAACCTCTCACAAGCACACACCACAACCTTCTGAGGATTCATAAACCCAACATCATTTACTCTCTGATAGTTTAAAGAGAGAGTAGGGAGCTCATCAAGAGTCCAATCATAAGTGTGAACCATGCTACCATGAGCTACACAACACCCACCATGTGGGCCCGCTCTGATAGCAGTGCCATCGCCTGGGGCCCGCCCGCTAACTGAAGCAGCAGGGCCTAATCGATTTCCATCAAATGGGCCCCATTTCAAGGCCCTAACATGGTCTATAATGCCATAGAATTCAGCTTCTCTGTAGAGAAGCTTCTCAGGAATATGAGGGGGAATATGGAGCTCACCAGTTCTCAAAAGGTCTAAGAGGACAGAGAAGCAAGCAGGGTTTCGGTCGATGAAGTATGGCTCTGAAATCTTCCGACTGGGTTCCGGAAGGGTCCAGAAGATGGTGTTGGGTTGTTCTAGAAGATTTTGATCTCGAGTATTGGGGTCTTTCGGAAGGTACTGGTTGGGTTCTAGAACGTTCCAATTCTCATCAAGCATGGCACCAAGCATGGAATCCCGGCCGGCATTTGCGAGGGTGGTGGTGGTGGTCTCAAAAATGGTGCCACCCACATTGATTCGCACTCTGTCCGCCATTGATTTTTTATCAGATTAAACGTGCTTGGGGTTTGAGGAGACAAGTTCTGGTTTTTGCTCTGGAAGAACCATTCTCTTTTATAGATTCTCTCTCTATTGAACCTGCAAAAGATGAAATTCTCTTCCTTGCAGATGGGTCACTTCTCTCTCTTTTAACCTCAAAAATACCGTGCCAGATTCAAGAGTGGGTGTTTCCTTAGAGTTGACATATTTTCTCTCATCAAACCAGCGAAAAGTGGGAAAATTTCAAGAATTGATGTCTCCCTCCTGAATTGTTTGTTGTTTTGTCTTTCATCAACCTGCAAAATCTTGTATGAGGTTTAAGATGGTGTTTTCCTCCTGATTTTCTGTTTCTCCCTCAACAAACCTGAGGGAATCTAGACAAGGTTCAGCAAACTCTCTGTCATAAATGCTTCAAGAAGCCAGCTCCGATTCCTGAATTATCATTATCTCCAACACAAAACCTGCAAAACCACAACTGTGAGCATCTGGGAATGAAAGCCCAAAATTTGATACCGAATCAGATCTATCACAGGATCATCTGTAATTGATTGGTGGTTGATTGCAAATATTTGAAAATTTGCAGCGACCCAAATGAAAATCAATGATAATCGGATGTTTGAAACTCGTTATCAGGTTGAGGGAACCACAACTTTCTCAGAAGAGATTCACCAATAAGGGATATATGAATATATTTACTGGTTGAATTTTGCAGAGACCCAGTTGACTTTATAGCTTTAAGATCACCCAGAAGCTTTGGTGAATCAAAATCCAGGAAACCAAATAGGAATTCCAATGATCTGAAGCTAGGAGAATTTGCAGAGACAAAGATAAAATTGAGATAGAGCCGCCTCAGATAAAGGAAAGACAGAGTATCATAGAGAGAAGGGGAGAAGGGGGGAGGGAACCAAGAGGGATATCAAAGGGAGATGGAGATAGAACAAGAGGATCAAAGGGGCAGATGGGGAGAGAGAAAGAAGATGAAATCAAAGAAATTAGAGGATAAACAGGAGAGAGAGAGAGAGAGAGAGAGAGAGGGA